TCTAGAAACCTTTAAAGCAGTGAGGACCATCGGTCACCGTCCTCACCTCTGGGAAACTTACCTCATCTTTACGTCCTTGTAAGTACAGTTGGTCTTTATAAGTATGGAAACAACACACACACACCTATAATGTAGAAACACACACAGAGATAGACCCGCTGAAGCACAAGTAGAGTATCGCTGCAGGTGAGGAGAGAGCTAATGCCACCCAGACAAACAGCCACACAGTCAGACACATGGACAGACATCAAGGGAAACCTTCTGCACATAACCGGCGAGACACGACCGCACTGCCCGGGGATTATCCTCTTCTGTTTTTTAAACGGACTTTTTTTAATATCTGTTGTTTACTTTTCTGTAGATTCTTCTTTTATTTCCTGAATCTGTTTAGAAGACGCTGCATAAAATAGGCTACCGACGACTGTTTGCACACCTACACTAGGATCAACAGGGAGAAGACAAAGCCAATCAAAAGACTAACAAACACAAACGGGAGGAAGGACTCTACACGCATATCACAGCATATCAGAACAAATCAACTGGTTTCAGCTTGTTGATTCTTTTTATACACCATCTCTCTCTCCTTGTTTTCTTTTTAATTTTTAATATTTTTTAGTTGTAATAACATCCGTGTGCAATCACAACCCTGGAGGCACTTGCAGGAAAAGTGAATTTATTACACAAAATCTTGTACTTGTACACAAAAAGGGAAATTTTGATTCAAACATTTCTAAGTCTGTGAAGTTCCTTTGTAATATTTGATGTGCGTTATTACTCTGTTGTAGTTGTTAAGTCCTTTTACATTGTTGTTTATACTAGTCAGACTAGTTGGAGCATCTGATTGTTGATGTGTTTTATAATGTTTGGAATGTTTTTCATGGTTGAACTTGTGCCACATTTTTAACGAGCTCAGAGTTAGGACCCTCGGTTATCCCCGACCTCTAATTAGTGCGTGAACGTGCCCTGTTAACTGCAGCGAGTGTACACGCGCTGCTTTTCTTTACATTAATTACCAAAGTTTTATTTTTTATGAATGTGACTGTGGCTGGGGTAGCTTCCTTTAACAAGCCTGCTAACTGATATGAAAACCAAACGTTTAAAAGCAGATTGAAGTTTGCAGGCTGGAGATCACAGTAACATAAGCAGAGGTGCAGCTGATCAGCTCGGTCCTGTTCCAGAAAGCAGGTTCAGCAAATTCGAGGTTTTCAGCTCCAGAACAAGCTGATCGGAGTTGCTTCAAATCAACTCTGAGTGTGAGGAAACTAAGCCGTGATCAGTGCAGTGCTCATCAGCCAATCATGGGTTTGACTGTGGGCTACGACATTTAGCAGAAAAGTAAATGAAAAACAAATAGGGGGTCAAAGTCAGCTTTGTCCACTCAGTCATTCTTTACTTAAACTGAATCCAACCAAAATATATCTGAGTTTGGCACAATTACAGTGGAAAATGAATGATTTGTAGACATCTATTGAATTCAATTTGATTAAAAACAGTCTATTTAACAAAAGGTGAATCCATTTCAGAATGAAATGAAACCAGGACACATCCGGAGTATCCGGATGTGTCCTGGTTCTCAAATTTATTTTAAAATGCTTTCAGACCCTGAAAGTCGCTGAAGATGCTGAAATCTTCCTGTCATCTCCAACGTGAAAGCTAATGAAAGTGATTACTACAGTAGTGCACACTGTCAGGCATCAGTGCAGGCCATCTCATGGACAACCTGACAGATTCCTGACTGCCCACAGAGCTAGAAGGATGTATCCTATAGAGCAGAGCCGGTAATAAATCCGTGGTATCCCGTGGTCGCTGACTCTGCTGTTACACTGATGACAGATTTATTATGAAAGTTAACCATCATAAACAACAAGCTAACATATAAATGGGATTGGACTGTTTGTAAGGACCAGCTTCTGTCCCCCTTGGTGCTTTAAGACCGACTGCACGAATGAGAAAACCTTAAAAGTTGTTTAAAGAAAATCTGTCAGTGAGCAGTTTAATTATAGAGAGTCTGTTGCCCCGGTAACTGACCCGATGTTTGTCTCTAAAACATCAAATCCAGAGTTTTCACCAGGCATGTGCAGAGGGGGGGGGCTAGAGGGGCTTGAGCACCCGCCCCTTTAAACCTCTCTGCACGGTCCTGGTTTTCACTCAAGTTGTCACTAAACCTGCTCTCTGGAACGTGGCCCACGTAAACCGTGGAGCACTTTTAGATTTCACTGAGCTCAGCGAGTCCCGTCAGTTTTAAAGCCGATGTGCCGGATCATGTTTTTGCATCTTGTCTTAATATGAACTCGTTTGGTTCTCCGGACCATGTTAGTCTTGAGTAATGGTTGAAAATTAGGCGACTGGGATTCTTTACGTTGATGAGGATGTTTCGCCTCCCATCCAAAATAACAGAATCCCCGTGATTACTGACGGCGGTGTTGCCAGATTTGGTGGTTTTCCATCCAGCTGCAGGTAAACGGTCGTTTCGTTCGGGCAATAAAATCCATAATGATTAATAACAAAAACAAAACTGGGCTACGTGTAAGACCATCCGGGGACTTGGCAGTGGTCAAACACTTAATAAGCTCGTTCTCAGCTCTTTAACAACAAAGCTCTCGGCTGTGGCTTATTTCCCGAGGGACGCCGCAGCGGATGGATCTGCGTGCTTGATTTGGTGCAGATTTTCACCGGATGCTCTTTCTGCTGCAATCGCTCTTGCTCGGGATGATACTAGAAGCCCTCTGTGATCCCGCTCTCTCCCTTAAACCCTTCACATCTAAGGCTGTAACAACAGTAACCATGGTTACAGATCATGTCAGATCCACAGATCGTGGATAATGCGCATTATCCACGATCTGTGACATTTTTTTTTGCGCCACGAGAACAATCAGGTGTCTTTGCTTCTGTAACGCACACTTGAGCTTAAGCGTTGCTTCACTTACTTCAAAGTGTCGTCAGTAACAGCTGAGATAAGTGCAACGCTGTTACCAGCTACTGGTTTAAGTTTCAAGCGTCTCCTGTGAAAGGCCCGCTGGCTGTCCGAGAAACGGCGACGCGTTAACGCTGCGTCTACGTGTGCGTGTTTGACCCTCTCGCCCTGCTGTTCCTGCCCGTGGCTACACGGTGTCACCACCCACTAGTCATGAGACAAAAGCCCAGGGAGCTACAACACCGACTTATTACAGAAACGTCTCCTGTTTCTGATTCTTTTCTTTTCTCTCCTCATAGCGGCTGAAAGGCTGAAAAGCCTCCGAGTGCAATGAGCTTAACGTGAACTTGAAAAAGCTGGAAAGTCAAACTGTGTCGTATCTGTTTAAAGTTGAGAAGGTGGATGGATCTGTCCATTTAAACACACAGCATGACTTTATACACACATTAAACATGACACACACACGCACGCATCGCCTCTCTCGAGTCAGAGAGCACAAACACTACAGCAGATAGTTTTGTAAAAAGGCTCCGTTGTCTTGCCTGCATGCTGCTTTTTCTTTTACATTGTACATAGATGTTAATTTATTTGACATAATGTGTATATTAGTAATCATTGTAGCCACTGACAATGATTGATTTCATACGTTGCCATTTCTGCTCCAGAGCGAACAGTATTTTGGAGGCGACGAGGAGATTTTTGATCGTTCACAGTCCCGCACTTTTCCCCCTCCGTGTGTAAATCTGTTGAAACGTGTTTGTATAAAAATAGAAGAAGAAAAAAAATCCACAAAGATGGAGAACGTGATCAGTCGTACGTTGTTGGTGATTCCTTCGTGTTTAGATATAAACGGGGCTCGAGGAGAAGGACGAGGTGGGGGGACTCCGGCGTCCTGCGCTGTTCGTACATTTGTGAATGTGCATGAAAATATTGTGGACATCATATCGTTGTTAGTCGCCCTGCGGAGTACTGTGGGAGGGCACAGGACGAGATCCCAGTCCGGGGACGACCCACACCACAACACGATACCGCTAAACTGATCCACCGCGTACTTCTTGAATATCTGATCAAACTAATGAAGGATCTTTATCTGCTCACTGGAAGCGTTTCAAGGTGCTTCGATGTGAGAAAAACATGTTTTAGTGATTTAGTGTCTGTCTGAAATGTTCAGTGTGTGTAACCCGCTGACAAAAACAAAAACAGGGTGATTTTGTACAGATGTTACACGACGATAAGCCCTGACATCCCTCTTTTTCCCCCTCACGAGTGAAGGTTTTGTTTTCACTGCCTGCTGAAACCTTCACGATGTTAAAGTGCTCGATATCTGTGCATCCCCCCCTCCCTCGATGTTGTTTGTACCCTTTTCTCTAAACTAGCTGAACGTGATAGTAACTGTAGTTTGGTAGATGGATGTTCTACTTTGATACTTTAAAGTTTAAAAAGATGACAGAATAACTACATTGTGGCTAAATGTGACTTAAAGAGACATGAAGGGAAATGTCTTACATGCTGAACCATCCTCCCCGAGTCCCTTTTAGAAAGTAGTTTGTACATGTCGAGTGTATAACGCTGTTCTATGATGGTTTTTCTGATGGTATTTGTATTTCTGTATACACTTTGGTGATCCTGTCATATCTGGGTTTTATAAACCACGATTATTTTTAAAGCTCACTTGGCCTCTCGACTCTTCTTTTAACCGCCGCTGCATACAGTAAACCTTTATCTGCGTCTCCACCCTGCAGCGGGGCCCCGATGCACCTCTGTGAATATAGAAATAAACCTCAGCACACATGCATTATGGTTCGTTTCTGCACTTTAACAGTGTTCTTTGGTTTCTTTTGCATTTCAGGATTCGTGCTCGTTTCATGTCTGCACCGTATTGTGCGGTTTTGAAGTCGATTCTTCACCCGCTCTTGCGCTTAAGTAGGTCTGTCCAACAGCGCTGGCAGCCTTTGGGGATTTGAGGTCTTTCTCTCTTCTCTTTCTTTTAATTCCCAGTGGGCAGACAGACAACGTCACATTCAGCGTGCCAACCAGGAGAAATGAATCATTGAGAAGCATGAAAATCACGCTTGTTGGCAGAGAGAAAGCCCCCACAAAAATCAAAGGAGAACACGGTGAACTTTGTTGAATCATCATGTAAAACGCTCTCATAATCCAGCTGAAGCATCACAGCAGTTTTTCTCTGTTTATTTCTAACTTTGGACGCCACCGCGGCACTGCGTCAGTGTTTAGCGTGTCATGTGACCAGTTTACCCGGATACATCTGAGGAACATTTAAGGATTTAATTTGTAACAAAACTACCGACTACCGGTGTTGTGCCAAAGTAGGTATCCCCGACAGAATTTGTTTCCCCTGTGCTGGGAGCAGGAAGTACTGATGTTTTCATTTTGTGAAAAAGTGAAAAATTAGTATCGTTACATTAGGGGAGACCGGGAATAGTTGTAACATTTTTGACATTTCTGTCTGTAAATTGGAGCTCTTTTAAGGTAGTGGATTCAAAATGTAATGCAAAGTATTTACACATCTCGGCTATTAAATAGTGCAGCTATTTTCTCTGCAGCACAATGACCCATTGCATGGTATGGTCTCAAACACAAAGAGTGAAATGTTACAATTAACCCCATAGTCTGGGTTAGTTGTAACATATCCTGGGGTGAAATGTAACACAATGAAATAAGGGTACT